ATATTCTGTTTTAATTAATTATATACCTTAGTAAAAATCTGTATATGGTATATGTTAAAATTGATTTGATTCAATTCAGTAATAAGTTTGAATTACACGGCTTAAAAATTAATAATATGTACACAGTAATTAACATATTTAATTTAATTATTATAATAATAAATAATTTTGTATATCTCTTGCACGGAATATGTATGAAATATGTTAGGAATATTCCATTTTATACACTTTTAATAAATTTTATAAACAAATTAATTAATTACTAAAACGAACACGTAATATGTATGATAACACGTTATAGTTGATTTTATTCAATTGAGTAATTAGTTTGAATTACACGGCTTAAAAAATAATAATCTGTACACGGTAATTACCATATTTAATTTAATTAGTAGAGTAATACATAATTTTCTATATCTCTTGCACGGAATATGTATGAAATATGTTAGGAATATTCGATTTTATATATCGATGGAATAAAAATTTCATACAAAATAAATTGTAGGACTAAAAATAATAACAAATAACATAACAAACATAAAATGTTGACATATTCGTCGTTAACATGTGTACATATTAGAAGTGTTGGGAAATCTGCATCTTTCAATACTTCTACAGTAGTTCTATCACAAAACCTCAACATACACCTGAGATTAGAAGTTTTGTTTCTATAGTCATTTTAAACCACCTCAAATCTTTAGATTCGATAAACTTTGCCTTCTTTAAATTTGTTGAACCACTTTTGTACATACAATGGTGGAATATGCATATTTATAAATGTTCCCTGAAATTATATATATATATATATATATATATATATATATATATATATATATATATATATATATATATATATATATATAACATATGCATCAACAGTAAATTTTAGAGATACAAAATATTAATGGTTGAAAAAAAAAAAAATCTACATCATGTACTACATACTCTATAGATTTAATGGTTTGAGAACCTTTTGTCTCAGGAAGACGAACGACACGAAGCACTCTAAACCTAATGTGATTCCAGCGCAGTTCTACACGAAGTTGATTACCAACAATCTCAGAGTGAGGTTCAGCTGCCATTGAAAATCTGTGTAAAAAGGAGAGTAGAAAAGCAGGAATATGTTTGTAGCTGATAGCTTTGAGTTTAGCCTAATGGTGGGTTTAAATAGCAAATCCTTAATTATTACTATATTTAATTATTGAAGTATTTTTTACTACCTAATTTATATTTATATTTTATTAATATCAATCAATATATACATGTATATATATCACATGGATTTTTACTACCTAATTTATATTTTATTAATATCAATCAATATATACATGTATATATATCACACGGAATCTCCATAATTAAATATTTCATAATCAGAATATATATGATTTTACATAAATACCCCTAAGTTTTGGGGGGGGGGGGGGGGGGGGGGGGAATTGGTTTGGAGGATTTTATATATATATATATATATATATATATATATATATATATATATATATATATATATATATATATGGAAGGGATCAGGTGCATTTGTGGTTTCCCGTGCGGTTGTGCGGAGGATTAATGTGCGTGAGGTTTATACTTAATGTGCGTGAGATTTGTACTCAATGTGCCTGGGATTTGTATTAATGTGCGTCATGTTAATATGCGTGAGTTTTGTACTTAATGTGCCTGAGTATTGTGTTTAATGTGTGTGAGTATTTCATAATTACGAGCTCAGAAGGAAGCAAAATAGAAACTCACGCACATTAACGCCCAAGCTTTTTGTTACTTCTTCATTCAATTTGGCCATGGATTCTGGATTATCAGCTACCTTCAGTGCAGTTGAATGTTTATATAGATGACGCACACACAGTAAAATTTACACAGCAGCTAAGTGTGGATTTCTGTTGTATTATTCCCATAATTCTTTACCACCATAGCCCGCCTCCGCATCATCATCATCAGGGAGGGGGCAAATGGCTACTGGGGATGGGGAAGAAGCTGACATCAATATTTTCTGCTACATTTTACACATTAACGCACATTAAGTACAAATCTCAGGCACATTAAGCACAACACTCACGCACATTGAGTCCAAATCTCACGCACATTAATCCACCGCACATCCGCACGGGAAGCATTCAACCGCACGAGAACCTTTCACTATATATATATATATATATATATATATATATATATATATATATATATATATATATATATATATATATATATATATATATATATATATATATATAAATATAATAATAATAATAATAATAATAATAATAATAATAATAATAATAATTGGTATGTCATCACACTACATGGTAATTAGCTGACTAGCTGATCTTTAATAACATGCAAAACCAGACCTTTTAGAACTCTTCTTCTAATTAACCAAAAGACATTTCTCAATCAAAATCAAATAACTCTAATAAAATTTCCTCTAAACTTAAAATAATATTTAACTTCACAACTCCTAAAATAATATTTAAATTTAATAACAAAATCCTCAAATATACCTTTAATTAGTAAGATTTGCGGAAGATTTATTATTTCAAAAAATAGTGTAAAGAGAAAAGTGAAGGAAAAATGAAGAGGGAAATTTCATTGAGATTGAGTGGAAGACATCATGGAAACCGCAGGCCAGAAAGCTAAAGAAGAAAAGTGTAAAGAGGAAACATAAAGGATAAAGAAGAGGGACCACACAATGATGGAATTTCATTCTGCTGTGCATTAAAGATAATGAGAGCCTTCCTCTCAAGTCTCAACCATACTTAATTGAAATTACTTATTACTAGTATTTGCACCTGTGCGATGCACGGAATTGATTTGTTGTAATATATTAAGAATATATGAATCGATATATAATTATTTAAATTAGAACATCAAATATTATATAGTGCAATTAAATATATGGTTTGGATCGTTTATATATTTTGATGTTATCATTGCTTGAATTTGTGCAAATAATTGCTCAAATTAATAGCTAATGTCTAGATGTACGCATACAGTGCTATAACTTTGAATATTTTATTTATCATTGTTTAGAATTTTCATAAATTAAGAAAATGTGCTCGTTCTCTAACAACTCAGTTATAGAAATGAATTGGTATCCTTATTCATTTGTATGGAAGATATATATTTTTGTCTAGATATATAACAATTTATTCATTAAAAAAAAAACTTAATATCACCGATTATATTTACACATTATTGAAACCTCTTTGTAGACGACATTGGTAGTGACAAACAATCCTATTCAACTCAATTAGTTATTCTTTAATATTTTCAATCAATTAGTGATATCGGATTCATTTTCAGCCAATTATTCTTTTTTATTTTCAGTCAATTAACTCATTAGAATATCAAATGTAGTGATATTTTTACCTAATTTTCGTTCCATTATTAATTGATGATGTAGATATTATTATTGAAATATTTCCGTTTCATTTTTAATTTACCTTTACTATTGTTTAAAATATGCATTTACTATTAATAATGTAGTATATTATTATTGAAATATTTTTCTTCAATTTTTAATTTTCATTCTATTTTTAATTAAAATGCAATGATCTGGTCATTTCTTCTTCTTTTTTTAGTTAATTATGGAGCATTTTTTTATTTGCAGTCAATTATTAATATTCATTTCCTTTTAAAATTTTCAGTCAATTAGTAATATTAGATTCATTTTCAGTCAATTATTTTTTTTTTAAAGAAAAGGGTCAAATAGACTCCTAAACTTTACCCCAAAGGTCAATTAGCCCCCTAAACTTTACAATTGTGCAATTAAACCCTCAAACATGTTAAATTAGGTCAATGAAGCCCAAAAACCGGTAAATGACCTGTTATTACAAATGGCAAGAAAAACGTCTTGAAGGGAGAGACAAACTACTCTCTTATTACAAAAAATTACACTTTAACGGAGAAATTTAATCGAAACAAAGTCCAACGCTTTGATATATTGACAACTAAAAAATGCTTTTAATTTCATTTTGGTTTTTATTGTATTCTTAGTATGCTTCCCTCTGTAAGTCTATATCTATTTACATATACACATAATTCGTCCCTCGATCACAAAACTTTATCATCTTGATGAGCAAGGAACTCTATTGCTTCCCGATCAATCTTTCTAAATCCGTATCTTCTCCACAAAAATAGACAAACAAAAAAAAATCAACATTTTTTCTTATGAACCACTTTTGTTGTTTAAAAACCATAAAATACAAAAAAAAATAAAAACAAAACAAAACCCAAAAAGAAGAAAAAATAAAAGAAACTAAGATGATGAAAACCTCACCAATGCAAATCACGTATCAACCTCAACTGTGGAAGATCACAGGATGATTAGAAGTCTATTGCTTCCCGATCAATCTTTCTAGATCCGTATCTTCTCCACAAAAATAGACCAAGAAAAAAAAAAGAATATATCAACATTTTTTCTTACGAACCACTTTTCTTGTTTAAAAATCAGAAAATACAAAAAAATAAAAACAAAACAAAACCCAAAAAGAAGAAAAAATAAAAGAAACTAAGATAATGAAAACCTCACCGTGCAAATCACGTATCAACCTCAACTGTGGAAGATCACAGGATGATTAGCAAAAATCAATGAAATAATTAACCTTAGTTAGGGTTGTGTATGGTCATATAAGGTGTATTTATACACAATGGATGAAATCAAAAGGGTTTAGTATTGAATTTATAAAATGGTAAGAGATCTCAAGAAAGGTAAAATCTTTAATATTATTGAAATGCCATATTTGTCTAAATATTTGATATTACAAAAATGCCCCTAAGTTTTGGGGGGAAAACTTGACTAGGAAGATTTTACTTTTATATATATATATATATATATATATATATATATATATATATATATATATATATATATATATATAGATTACGTTTATTTGATTACCTACTTGTTTGATTGTTTCAATTCCAGCATCATATTCATTTTTTAATAAAATAATGGGAAAATGGTCAAATAGGCCTTTGAACTTTAGCTTAAAAGTCAATTAGGCCCCTAAACTTTTTAAAGGTGTAATTACATCCATCAACAATTCATTTAGGTGCAATGAAGCCCAAAAACAAGTTAATGACCTGCTATCACAGGTCATTAGGGTTCAGGCCACCTTTCCGGCGAATTTTCTGACAAAAAAAATGTGACCAGCAACCGACCCAGATTTGCCAAAAATTTCGCCGGTCACTTCTTTTGTCGAAAATTTCGCCGGTCATTTTTTTTTTTTTTTTTTTTTTTTTTTTTGCCGAAGGTGGCCTGAACCCTAATGACCTGTGATAGCAGGTCATTAATTTGTTTTTGGGCTTCATTGCACTTAAATGAATTGTTGATGAGTGTAATTGCACCTTTAAAAAGTTTAGGGACCTAATTGACTTTTAAGCTAAAGTTCGAGGGCCTATTTGACCATTTTCCCTAAAATAATAAAATATACGGAGTAATTAAGACTCATTATTCTCGCCCTTTCCTACTTTTCATCTTGAACATTGGAACAAAAAAATAAAAGAAGTTATCTTATGGTCTACTCTATTCACATGGATGAAAATTGAACCCCCAACCTCATACTTAAAGGACGAGATGCTAAATCACGTGCCAACCATGTTAGTTAAATCATATAATACATTATATGATATTATAGTAGTCCCACATTTTCATTCTCAATCAATAAAGTTGTTGGGAAGGAAATTATTGGTAATTAACTAAAAAAAAAAAGGAAAGAAAAATATAAAGAGAAATGATGTGAAAAACAAGAGAGACAAGAAACACTATTTCGGACATTGATAATTTGATGTATATGTAGAGGTTCAACCATAGACCTATAACTTGTGTCAACCTTTGAAAAGAAAATATTTAATGCACTTGTATTGTGTATTTTATTGATCCAAAATAAATTTTAGTATTAACAAAGTTCATTTTGCAAATTCAATTCTCCCATTTTTGCCCTAGCTATGCATACTATAAATTAAATGAATTATATAAAAGAAAAATTTTAGTAAAATAACATATTGCCAGAAACATATTTATGATCCTTATTCCTCACACCTAATTCAATTTGAAAATTTTCAAGTACATTTATGTTTTTATTTTTTAAAGTACCACACAAGAAATACTAAAACAACATAACAAACCCGACAAAAGTTATTAGACAATATTAATGTACAATGTTCTCCTTTGCTTCATTTTATTTGAATTATTTTTTTTAGTTAATTCTAAACTAATATTTATTTTTAATTTAATTAGCATTAACTTGATGGAATTTGTTTAAAAGTGTTACCATCTAAAATTAACCCAACAAAATTGAAGCATGTGCTCCATCTCAATTAAAAGCCTAAGCTGATAGTTGGACTGATAGTTGGATATATGTTCAACACGCCCCCCCCCCCCCCCCACGTGTGTGGTGGGTTCCAAGCAACACGTCGCTTATGAGTGACACTGAGATTCGAACCCATAACCTTTGGTCTGGCTCTGATACCAAATTGAAAGGTCTGGCTCTGATACCAAATTGAAGCATGTGCTCCATCTCAACTAAAAGGCTAAGCTGATAGTTGGATTGCACATTAATGGCTATATGTTCAACAAACAATCTCTATGGTTGTGTAATTAAAAACCATGTAGAAGATGAGATTGTTTTTTTTTTTTTTTGAATTTTTCGAGCTGTAGCACTACATGCAACCCTACAACAGGGCCCAAATATTTCATTTAATTAATATTTCTCAAAAATAATATCCACATACTCATTATAACAAAAAAAAAAAAAGAATAATAATAGCCCCTCCGAAATGGTGATAGATCAAGTTGGTGAAGAATAATTTTGTATAACATTCATGAATTCAATTCTTCTTAACAATTTCGATCTCTATCAAGCCTATCAAATTGGATCTTCAATTCCTACATAGTATTTAAATGAAATAAATTATACAAACATTTAATCTGAATAACAATTTTGAAAAATAACCAACACCTATTCACTAATTCATCATGACAAAAGTACTTGCATATCTTGTTGATTATGAGTGTCAAAATGTTCAGCTAAGCAATAGGATTTCTCCTCACAGCTTGACAAGAGTTATGTCTTATAACAATCTAGCGCCTAGTTATCACATTTTTGCTATGAACATTACTTGTTCGAAGGAGCCAAACTCTTATAATGAGGCCATACAATTTGAGTGTTGGTGGCAAGCTATGAAAGATACAAGATTAAACATAAAATGGATGGGACTATTGAAAGATACAAGGCAAGACTGGTAGCTAAGGATACACTCAAACTCTCGGATTGGATTACTTGGATAACTTTAGCCCAGTGGCTAAGGTCATAGCGATAAGAGTTTTGTTAGCCCTGATAAAATTCAGATAAAGCATATCAAGCAGCATTTGCACAATTCATTCCAAATAAAGGACTTGGGTCCTCTTAAGTTCTTTTTAGGACTAGAAGTTGCTAGAAATCACAAAGGCATAAGCATTAATAACAGAAAGTATGCATTGAAATTACTTCGCATCACATGTTTTTTTACATTGCAAACCTGCCAAAACCCCCATGTTGCCCTGCCTCTATCAAGCTAAGCAAACACAATGGAAGTGCTTTGGAGGATATCACTCAATATAGAAGATTAATTGGAAAATTTCTATATCTCACCATTACAAGACCAGCCATCAGTTTTGCTACATAGCAGTTATTATCTCAGTTTCTAGATTGTAAGTAGAGCCGTCAAAAATGGGTTTTACCTGCCGGGTCGACCTGTCCCGTACCACCGTAGGTAGGGGACGGGTTCTTCAAATTTTGATCCGCCAGGAGGCGGGCTTTTTAGCCCGCCCCGCCTGGGTCACGGGTCCAGGCGGGGCGGGTCAGGCGGGTCACGGGTTTAGCCCGCGACATGCTAATACGTATATATTTAGTATTTAATACATATTATTTTTTGTATTATTTTGGTTTGTGTAATTGTGTTAGTGTGTTATAACTTATAGGATTATAGATTTATGGTAATAAAATACTAGGTAGTGTTACTGTGTTAGTGTACTTTACATCTGTACAGTGATTTTTTTTTTTAAGGATATTGTATAGTGATTTTTTTAAAAAAAAATTAACACATTGAAAAAATTGATTGGCGGGCTAGCTCGCCCCGCCAGCGGGCTTTAGCATGGCGGGGCAGGCCGACCACATTCCAAGCCCGCTAAGAGGCGGGCTTTTTAGCCGTCCCGCTACGAGGACGGGCTTTGGTGTGTTTTGGCCCGTCCCGTTCCGCGAGACCGTTTTGACGGCTCTAATTGTAAGAGCCTTACAGACATACATTTACAAGCAACACATAGACTCCTAAGATATATCAAATAAGCCCCAGCTCAAGGCATATTCTTTCCAGCTCGATCCACACTCCAACTAAAAGAGTTCACTTACTTTGACTGGGCAGCTTGTCCCGGCACTAGGAGATTTAGCTATCACAGGGTTCTGCATCTTCTTAGATACTACTTTGGTGTCATTGAGGTCTAAGAAGCAAGTAACAGTTTCAAAATCCTCTTCTGAGGCAGAATATAAGGCCCTTGCTATTGCAACTTGTGAAATACAATGGATAACCTATTTACTTGAAGCCTCGGAAGTTGATGTTCACGGCTAAGCTCTCTTATTCTCGGACAACAAGTCTGCTATTTCCAAAGCAGAAGATTCAGTGTTCCATGAAAGCAGATAATATCCCCAAAAGCTCAATTCTAGCTTCCGAATCATAAGCCTCCATCTGTAATGGCCATATTGCAAGTAGATAATATGCCCTACATTTCCCATTTAAGTAGAAGAGAATGTGAATAATGCAATGGATTTTGAAAGGATTACATAATAGATGAAAATCATGAAATGACTTTCCATAATACACGAAGGCATTTAAAAAAAAAAAAAAAAAAAATTCTCTAATTGTATGAATCATCTTATTAAAAGGTAGGGTAAGGATGCCAACCAAATTCGAACAAATTACTACAACTTGCTTCTCCAAGGGAGCCCCTGCAAACAATGTTAAAACCTGTAGCATGAAAGTATTAAGAAAAGATAAACACAAACACAATTGAAGCACAACCACTTTGAGTTGTTTTATTACTTATCATAGACCAACTCAAATAAATTAATATTAATATTTCTACTAATTAGAGAATTATTAGCTAAAGATAACAGGCAACATAACACCTTTCAAGAAATCAAAATATTAAGGGGTGGTTTACTAACTTGGAAAAATGGAGGATTTTCTAAAAAAAAAAAATAGAGAAATAAGAAGTGGAAAAAATAAAAATTGAAAAAGTTATTTACTAAATTTCTTCTTCCAAATGCTTACTCCTTCTCCAATCTCCAACTTTCTTAAGGAATTTGGAGAAAGCTTAAACTAATTTCTCCAAATGGAGAATTGGATAAAACACGGGTGAATAGTAACGGCGCTCCGCAAGGTTGACGGTTCAATTCATGCTCCGCGGTGGTGGACCCAGAAAATCATTCAAGTGGGGGCGAACATTAAATGACGTTAGAAATGTCATTGATAAAATATCAAACAACCATAATAAGGTTAAAATACAAAATACATCATAAATTACAATATATTTACGAGAAAATATGAAACATAATCAATTAAATAAAATAATTTGAATAACAATATATTCATAAATACTTTTAAATTTTAATTTCTTTTAGTTAGATCGATTTTTTTAAATTAATTCGAATACAATAAAGTATATTATAAACTTGTATACTACATTAATTAAATGATTTATAAAAAATAGACTAGCTAAAAGAGCATTTAATTTAACTTCTTTCCTTTTCGCCTTATGCGCACAGATTATTATTATTATTATTATTATTATTATTATTATTATTATTATTATTATTATTGTTGTTGTTGTTGTTGTTGTTGTTGTTGTTGTTGTTGTTATTGTTATTATTATTGTTATTATTATTATTATTATTATTAACAACGTCTGCACAGATTATTATTATTATTCTTATTCTTCTTATTATGCCAACATATTATTATTATCATTAACATGCACACATATTATTATTATTTGTTATTATTATTATTATTATTATTATTATTATTATTATTGTTGTTGTTGTTGTTGTTGTTGTTGTTGTTGTACAAATGCTATATAGATGATTGTATTTAATGAGATTTTAAAATTTTTATATGATGAAACGAATTATAAAATTATTTTTAAGAAAATCATATTATTTAGATGATGTGATATATATATATATATATATATATATATATATATATATATATATATATATATATATATATATATATATATATATATTGGATCTGGTGAGGTTACCTTTGTCAGGCGAAGTGGTGAGGCTTGATCTGGTGCGTTTATTTGGGTTTTTGGATGGATTAGATTTGGCTGAATATAATGCCTTGTGCGTATGATTTATTTGCATGTGGGAGTGTTGTTGTCTTTTTGGTAGTGTCTTAATTAGGGTATAATAATTAATTAGCAGATTTTATGGGCTTGTGCACTACTTAATTATGGTATTGTATCGGGTGTGTGCAATTTGTTTTTCCGTGTGTGCATTTGGCTTCAATTCTTTGTTATGCTGTGTGTGCAATTTGTTTTTCCGTGTGTGCGTTTGGCTTAAATTCTTTGTTATGACGGGTATGATCAATCAGCGATATGGTTGTGGTTTTTGTTGCATGCTGATTCCGTTATTCAATTTAAAAATTAATGAACAGAAGTTTGCGTTGTGTTATGAAGTTTTTCTGTGTGCATTTTATGTGTTCAACTTGTGCGTTGGGTCACAAATAGGTTGACAAGTTTTCAGGCAAAATATCTCTTATTTGGACTGTCAACTAGAATTGAGGCAAACTTTTACCATATTTTTATAGCTTGATTTTTGTTTTTTTTACGTAAAGCAATTTTGGTATGTGTATTTTAATTGTAACATGTTATGATCTATTAACTGTTGGTGTGTTGTTATTTTATATATTTATTTGGTGCTTTTTGTTGTTATGGACTGTGCGATTGGGGTTTACAAGGGGTGTTTTTTTTTTTTTTTTTTCTTTTTTTTGGTTTAAAATTTACACTGGATTCTAGTAGGTCTGACGTTTGTTCGGTTTAGTTTTTGGGCTTGTGCGTTAGGTTCTTATACTCAACGCACCGACTTAACTAAATGGCTGCACAGACAGAACATAACCCATAACACACTTCTATTAAGGTTGCACATACCTCTTTCCGGTTGCACCTTCATTGTTGAAGAGATATCCCATCGCAAAACACTATTGCTGAATACAAATGTTTAAATACAACTCACACTCTATCAACAATAATTTATAACCGTAAATATATTATTCAACACCATAATTAGTTGATCCTTAGCATGGAATATATTCCAATCTATTCCTAACCATATATAGCTCTAATATTACAATTACTTATACACCCTTATGCATAGACTACTACCATAGATGGAAAATAAATCTCTTTCAATCTCACCCTTTGATATGTTATGATTTAATGGATGAGATTAGGCCCCATTATCTCACCCATCTAAGTGACCTCATGGGATCCGAAGCCATATATATATATATATATATATATATATATATATATATATATATATATATATATATATATATATATATATATATATGGAGAGAGAGAGAGAGAGAGAGAGAGAGAGAGAGAGAGAGAGAGAGAGAGAGAGAGAGAGAGAGAGAAAAAACAAAAATTGGAGGATTGGGAAATGAAAATGAGAAAATTTGAGAAATGGAAAAACTGGAGGAATAGAGAAGGAAAATTGAAAAATTGGAGAAATGAAAAACTGGAAATGGAAAAACAGAGAAATCAAGTAAACGACCCCAAAATCTTCCTGTATGTACAAAGTTCTAAATTCTGGGGTTGACATATTGTAGTGAACAATTACGAAAGATAAACACTAAAACTAGACAGTAAATTAGGCTCTACTACAAGAGGTCCTGCGTTACACATAGTGGAGAACTGCAAAAGGATGCTAAGGAAGTAATGGGATGTCAGCCTTATTCATGTGTTGAGGGAACAAAATATGGCTGCTGATGCTATGGCAAAGGAGGCAAGAACGCGTGCTTATCCGGTTAGAGAAATCAGAGTTCCCCCGACGAGATTGCTAGCTGGATTGAAGAGGACCGCATTGGCCGTACGTGGCAAAGATGGTCATCTGAGAGGAACCTTCACTCCTAGGTAGAGGTGACCACAGTTCTGGTTCAAACCGGAACCGTAACCGGAACTGTCACTGTGCTAACCGGAACCGAACCGGAACCGTCCGTACGGTTCCGGTTCTTAACCGGAACCTATAAGGTTCCGGTTAAGGTTCCTATAATATTGGAACCGGAACCGCCGGTTCTGGTTCGGAACCGGACGGTTCCGGTTCCAAACCGTGAAATCCCAAAAAAAAAAAAAAAAAAGCATGCGAAATTGCGAAAGTGGCCCAGTAGGCCACTAGCGAGTGGCCTACTGGGCCACTTCCGCCAGTTGGCCTGGCGCAAAGGCCAAGCCTTGGCCTTTGCGCCAGGCTTTGCTAGCGAGTAACAATTAACAAATAACATAAATAAAAAAAAAAAAAAAAAAAAAAAAAAAAAAAAAGAAGAGAAATTCCGGTTAGAACCGCCGGTTCTAACCGGAACCGGCGGTTCAAGAACCGGAACCGGAACCTTATATTAAGGTTCTGGTTCCGGTTCGACCATTTTCGGAACCGGAACCAGCGGTTCCGAACCGGAACTGGAACCGTGGTCATGCCTACTCCTAGGTCCTGGGGTTTCTTCTCCTTCCTAATCTAAAAAAAAATTAGGCTCTAGTTCTTTTCATTGTTCTTAAAGTTTTTACCACTTCAGTTTATCATTGCTGAAAATTATAAAATTTTCGATCACCTAAAAGTGATCTTGAATCAAATCGAAAGTAAAAAGTGGTCGGAAATAGCAACAAAGATTTTTCCGGATACCAAAAGTGGTCGGAACAAGGCTTTCGACTTGATTTAAGATCACTTTCAGGTGGTCGGAAATTCTATAATTTCCAGTAGTGTATTTAGCACTAATTTTCTGTAAACAGAACCCATACAACATCACTATGGGGTCTAATATTAGTCAATGCAGTGGCATTTTACAGAGACAAGGATCAATACTCAAAATATGACCATTTAAAAAACAAAAAAATAGAACAAAAAATAATTTAAAAATAAGATAGAGAGAAAGACGAAAAGATACCTTAGGATGGAAATTTCA